TCTAATATTTTTCAATGCTCTACAATATATTGAAAACTCATTAAAATCGGGATAATGCATCCAACATTTCGTGCGCCATCGGCATTATGTGTGCTATTGGAATAATGCGCGTATTACTTGATACGCTATTGAGATAGTGCGTGATTTATTTTGTGTGCTATCAAGATGTATGTTAAAGATATGTGGGCTATCGGGAATTATGTTAAATTTGTCGTGGGCTATCAGGATGTGAGCTATTGCACCGCGCGCTAAGACCCCGCTAGGATCCCGCTCAAATAAAACTAACCGGAAGTCTTCGTACTCTTGTGGAGAGTAAGTTTGAATAAATACTTGAATACTCTCGTAGAAATATTATACTCTTGTAATGAGTAATTTTGATAAATATTTGAATCTTATTACATTCTCAATCTGAAGAAAGAATATATTGAATGTATCAATTTATTAATAATTTAGGCCATTCTTTCCGACCTATGCTTTTAGAATTCGGCCGTCCTCCAGAAAATTTTCCTAATCCGTACCGGCATAACAATCATATTCACTTTAGAAAACTTCATTTCAAACACAACATGTCACGGCCTTTTTGCGGTTTCTGTGCGGGAAAGCACGAGATGAGGGACTGCGATGCAAGGAATAGATCGCCGGCATGCGCAAATTGTAAGAGGAATGGTTCCAATGAGCAGGCTAACATGGACTTTGCGTATAAGGCCACCAATGGAAGGTTATGCCCTATCCTATTTAAAAGAATAAAAGATAAAATTGCTAACATCAATTATGGGTAGATGGCTGGATCTTTCAGAGGACTTCACGCTATGTCATGTAAATTGTCAGTTTTTGTTTGCACAATATGATGAATTCTGACTTCATTTCATCAAGGCTGATTACCAGGCTATCTGTATGTCTGAAACGTGGCTCAGACAGGATATCACTGATGATATGATTAGGCTACCTGGCTATACTCTTTATAGATGCGACAGATGTATTAGGGGGGGGGGAGGAGTTTCATTCTACCTGACGGACACACTACAGGCCAATGTCCTAGCAGATTCTTCTGGGTCTCCAGCTGGCAAGCCTGAGTTTATTATTGCGGAAATTATACTCAAGTACGCCGCTAGGTTACTCTTGGTTACGTTGTCTACAGACTACCTAATATAGGTTATCTTGACAAAGTCTTTCACAGGTTTCTTGATTTGCAGACGAACTATGCGCACTCCATCATTATGGGAGATTTCAATGCTGATCTTCTCCAGTGTACCTTTGACAGTCAGCAACTCAACACCCTTGTTGCCTCATCCAGTCTGTTTTTTGTGCCGTTTGACCCTACTCACCATCTTAGGAACTCAAGCACGCTCTTGGATCTGTGCATTAATGATGATGGGAAGAAGCTGGTGGAGTATGGACAGCATGGTGTTCCCTTCTTGTCAGCCCATGATCTGATCTACATTAAGTATGCCGTCAAGGTTAATCGTCGAATGGGTCCATTATCTGTAGAGATTAGAATGCCCTTGATGTGACGGCACTACAGCAGGATGTGCGTGACTTGGATTGGAGCGGTTTTTTTTCGGCTGCTTCCATGGATGAAAAGATCAATTTTTTCAACTTCAAACTACTTGAACTGTTAGATACCCGTGCACCCCTAAGGAGACGTAACTTCAGGAACTTTTCTGCCCCCTGGTTGACGGAACATATACGTCAATATATGCGGGGTAGGAACCTAGCTAGAAGAGTTTGGCGGAGAAGCAGGAAGAGTCAAGATTATGATAAATATAAGATACTACGAAACAAGACCCAGAATATAATACGGATTGCAAAAAAAGAATACTATCTCAACCTCTTTAGTGACCTGGATAGAACAAATGATATCTGGGGTACCCTGCGATATCTAAGACTGATCAGGGCCAAAAACTCTGATGCTGGCCTTTCCATATCAGTGAATAGCCTTAATGAGTTTTTTGTGGGTAATGCAAGGGGAGAGGATGGGACTGACCGTGGGCCTTCTTTTTCAGCACTTTTCAAGGGAACGTATGTCGAGGGTAGTTTTTATTGGAGCTACATCACACCACGAGTTATATCTAAATTGCTAGCCAGAGCTTCATCTAATGCGGTTGGTCTGGATGGCATTTCGCTTAAATATATTAGGCTCATCATGATCGCGGTTCTACCGATACTGGAGCATCTGCTTAACTTCTCCTTGCAGAATGGAGCGTTCCCGACTGCTTGGAAGACGGCTCTCATCTGCCCTATTCCGAAAATTAAGAATCCTACGATGTCACAGCACTATCGGCCGATCTTTATACTGCCTACGCTATCTAAAATTTTGGAGCGTGCTGCCTGTGAGCAGATATGTGACTATCTTGATGGGGCCAACCTGCTTGATCCTTATCAATCTGCTTATCGAAGGCATCATTCTACCCAAACCTGTTTGGTCCGTACACTGGAGGAGATCAGGTGTGCGGCTGATCGAAGAATGATTACCGTGTCTGTCTTTTTTGATTTCTTCAAAACGTTCGACGGAGTTGATCATCTGACTCGTGAGAAAACTAAAAAATCTAAATTTTTCCGACTCAACGTTGACATGGATCTACTTCTACTTGACAAATCGTACTCAGGTTGTCAGAGATCGAGCAGCTGACATATTGTCGGCTACATCCTACATCAGGCAGAGATCAGGTCGGCCCTCTATCGTCCGAAGCTCTGTAAACATCTTTTCCCGGCTGCACTAAGATCTCGACTGGTTACCACACTGATTCTTTCGCATGTGGACTACTGTTGTGCTGCTTTCACCGACTTGACATCTGAGCAGAATCTAAAGATTCAAAGGGCCTTGAATGCGTGCATAAGATTTATCGTCAATGCAAGAAGGGACGAGTACATCACACTTTTACAAAGATTCGCGTATGCTAAAGGTTGATAAGAGGTGGACTTACTTTGTATGCTGCCTGCTTTTCAATCTTTTACTAACAGGTCTACCTTATTATTTGTACGACAAACTTAATCACAGGGCCCAATTTTCTGCTAGAGACACACGGTCATCTAAGGATTCTTTGATTCCTCCGCAGTGTCGTACTGAGTTGTACAGACAATCCTTCGTTTCTGTTTCGATTAGACTCTAAAACAACTTGCCGCTTTCCATTAGAGGCGTGCGGACGGCAACTGATTTTAAACGTTTACTCTATGCGCATTTACTAGCAATTGACCCGTAGTACGCCGCTTGTGTTCTCTTACCCACCCAAGAAAGTGTGCTCCTTATTTTATATTCTGTTATTTTGTTGATTTCTTTTACTTGAGACTTAGTCTAGAACATCTATAAATGAATTTCTATTGTGCAACATCACTCACATATGCTTATACATAAATTTTGTACCTGAAGCATCAAGCATGCATAAATTATGTGATATACATAACATACACTGACACAAGCACATATACACACACACACATACACACATACGTTCTACACACACACTTGTAATGTATGCTTATGTATTTTCTTTCTTTTTGTAAGATTTTAATAGGCGCTTGAAGGGACTTGCTCCCAGAGCGCAAATAAATTAAGCTCTCTCTCTCCCTCTCTCTTTCTCTCTCTCTCCCCCTCTCCCCCTCTCCTCCCTTTCCCCCGTCTTTCTCTTCCTCCCTTTTTACAATTTTCTCCCTCTCCCCTTCTCTCTCTCCAACTTTCTCTCTCTCTCTCTCTCTCCTTCTCTCTCTCCAATTTTCTTTCTCTCTCCCCTTTTTCCCCCTCTTTTCCTCTCTCTCCTCCTTCCTCCTCCCTCCTTCCTCTCTCCCTCTCTCGCTCTCTCTCTCTCTCTCCTCTCCCTCCCACCCTTTCCGTCTCCTTCTCCTTCTCCCCCCTCTCTCTCTCTTATAAACATTACTGCACCGACTTCTCAAGAGAAGCTGACGTCCCTTGCGTTGCTGAATTGCAACAGGTCGGTGCATCCTACTACCCGCAGGACGACCGTGGTACATCGCCTGCAAGTAATTATTTAGAATTCGAGATTTTTTTCGCGCTCTTATTAACGCACCGCCTACTCTCTCTCGCCGAGAGAGCGTCTTTCCCTCGAGTGGAGATATCACTATTAGTGACGCGTATGCGTTCTGCACCGGCGATTTGTTATATTCGCGGTTTTATGTTACCCCCGCGAGTGCCCCCGCGGCTATCATTTTTAGTACCTCTACTCGCGCCGAAATATCGATCCGCCCCGGCCGTATTAATGGTCCACGACATCTGATAGATATAGTTACACCGTTTTCGACCGATCGCATAAATCCGTGTGTACACCGAAACCGCATCCGATTTAAGTAATCCGTATTCTATTGTATTTTATGTTATTTCGTAGTTTTCGCGTTCCGATTAAATTTGTTGGTATTATTTTGTCTGATTATACTATTCTATATTATATTCTTTTGTATTATATGTTGTATTACTCGCGTTCCGATCGTACTTTTTTTGCGTTACTCGCGTTCTGATTATAGTATTATAGTCTTTGGTATTATATGTGTTCCGATTGTATTCTTTTTGTATTATATTTTATATCACTCACGTTCTGATTATATTTTTTCGTATTGTATTGATATTACTTTAATGTTTTAAAATAAATTCAATTTATTTTTATATCAAAACCGCGGAGTTCTGTCAATCTTGGGCCTTTCTTGAGCCCCGATCCTGGCTAGGCTATCCGAGCCCTCACGAAAGGGGTTGTTACACATTTCTAGGCCAATTTAACAGGGACATCATAAAGATACCATTTATGAATTTTATATATATATCTTACTGTCGTTTGTGAGAAAAATCCTAGTTTAATTGTTTTAAATTATCTATATTTCTTTTATTTTTTAGAAGTCCTTAATTAGATATAAATTATTTCTCTCTCTCGAAAGCACAAAATATAAATACAAAGTATTAAACCATAAGAAAAGAAATATTGATATAGTTTTTTAAAATACTTCAGTGAATTGATTACAATTTGACACTTTATATAAATATGAACACTGTTTTCAAGGTTTGCAGAAATGACCGTCTTATCATTGACTTACAAAACGAAGCCGAAGGTCTTGAAGCAACTATACATTGGCATGGAATCTTTCAATATGGATCTCAATATTATGATGGTGTACCATATCTGACACAATGTCCAATTTTGTCAGCTAATACTTTCAGGTATAACTCATTTTTATAATATAATTTATATATATATATATATATATATATATATATTGCAAAGACTTTTCTCGCCCAGGAGCAAATGCGGCGAGCAGAGGTCAACGTCTAAAAAGAAAGAATTATTTTTATTCTTTGAAGATAATTATTACACGCGTGAACTAAGATAGTGGTCGCTCCGCGCGTACCGCAGCAGAACGCCAGCCGACGGATATGCGAAATTACTCGAATTTCTGGGCGCCAGACACGGTCTTTCACGTGTCAATTTGTGACACACGGACTAACGCGATAATCCAGCCGTAAGTTCCGCAACGGGCCGGCTGCTCATCTAACAGCAGAGGAGCAGAGTGTGGTTGCTGCGAAAGACTTAATGATTCGTTAACTCAAAGTATACGCGAAATTAACAATACGCGGATTATCCGGTATTGAGGCGTAACAACACAAAGAAACATAAAATAAAGAAGACGCAAGCGTGTAATGTAAAATATTTTCGATTTATTACAATACTGAAAAAGAAAAGAGAAAAACACTATATCATAAAATGTAAATCGGATAATTGTCAAATTACAAAAAAATCAAAAGAAATATAATTTCGGTAGTCAGAAAATTCGAAAATAGCGTGTAATGGGTTTTACAAAATAATAATACAAAAGAATTGATTCAATGTAAAATTTGCCGAGCAAAAGATAATTACAATATAAAACGAACAGACGTTGCTAAGATTTCAGCAGAGCCGACAAAATATAACAGTACGCGAGATACTGCAGTTTGCTGTTTTCTGTCGTTTTTGTCCTCGATAATCCTTCTTCAAGAATCACGTACTTTCTACCTCTCGACAATGCTCCCAAAATTTTACATAAAAAAAGTAAAAATAAAACGCATTAATAATATCCTTTGCGCCGCTAAGTCTCTCGGGGTTCGCATTCGCATTCGCACTCTCTCTCTCTCTCCCCTCTCTCCTCCTATCCTTCCTTCTCTCTCCCTCCCTCTTTTTCCCTCCCTCCCCTTCCCTCTCTCCCTTCCTCCCCTTTACCTCTCTTCCCTCCCCTTTCATTTATTCCTTTCTCCCTCTCCCGCTCTCCCCCTCCCTCTCTCCCTCTCTCTTTCTTCCTCCCTCTTCCTCTCCCTTTCCCTCCATCTCTCTCTGTGTGTGTGTTTTTTCCCCAGAGGAGGAAAATACTTTTACGTATCGTCAGGCCAAGATGTTATATGCCTGGTATGTCGGACTCGGTTTTCCCATACCGACTAAAAACCTTCTCTCTCTCTTCTGCTTCTGTTTCCCCCGTGGGATCGCCGCTAGGCATTACTTCGCGGAGGGAGAATCTAGCCTTGGCTTTTCCTTTCGATGTTTGAGATTATAACTTTTTTTTCTCTCAGGTTTTTCTGGTCTTTGCTCTCTCTTTATCTGTTCGACGAAGTTCTTGGAGAACCTTCGTAGCAAATGTGCTTGTTGCTTCCCACGCTGCCTCTGATGAAAGCATAGTCTTTACTATGTTCTCGGGCAGGATCTTATTTCTAAGAGCAGTCTCTGAAATGCTGCGGTAAGTGTTAAAGCGTGGGCATGTAAAGAATACATGCTCTGGATTTTCATCGACTCCTGGTTGGACAGATTGAACACTCCGCAGTCTTCTTTCTTAAACCTGTGAAGATAGGCTCGGTAGCACTCATGTCCTGAGATCATCTGTGTCAGGTAGTAGTTTACCTCACCGTGGTTATGGTTCAACCAACTTGCCAACTGTGAAATCAGGCGATACGTCCATCTCCCTTTGATCGAAGCATTCCACAACAGCTGCCACCTGCGTATGCTGTTTCCTCTCTCCTCAATTCTCAGCTCTGTTGGGCTTTTTGATCCTTTCCGCCGGTAGAGGGATCGACGTTCTTGCGCTAGTAGTTCTAAGGGTAGCATCCCGGCAATGACACACGCTGCATCATCAGAGACCGTGCAATATGCACTGGTAACTCTTAAGGCACTCAGCCGGGTGCCACTTTTCGCCTTGCTTCCTGTCTCTGCAGTGCATCAGCTCAGATGATAATGCCGTACGTTAACACGGACGTGACCACTGATGACAATAGCGCTCTTCTTCTTTGCTTTGGGCCTCCTACGTTGGGCATTAGTCGGGATAGGATGATTCTGACCTCGGACGCCTTGCTACCTGCATACTCAACTTGTTGCTTAAAGTTTAGCCGGGCATCGATCATTACCCCTAGATACCGAAGATACGGTTGGGATGTGAGTTCGTGATCTCCGACATGTAGAGTGATTGTTTCCGCTTGTTTCGTACTGGTAATGAGCATTGCCTCCGTTTTGTGTTCTGCCAGTTTCAGTCCAACGGTGTCCATCCACTGGCGGATCTTCTCGAAAACTGTATCAAAGATGTAATTGATCTCCTCCAGGTGTTTTGCCACAATAACCACGGCTACATCGTCCGCAAATGCCACGAGTCTAGCTCTGCATGGTATGTCCAATCTTAACAGCCCATCATACATTATGTTCCACAAAAGTAGATCCAGCACCGAGCCCTGAGGGACCCCCTCCCCTAGTGACTCTATATTTTTTGGGGCCGTTCTCCGTGTCATACTTGAGAACTCTGCCAATAAAGCTACTTACCATCCTCCGTAAGTATCCTGGTACACACATCCTGCTAAGGGCCTCCATGATACAATTCCAATTAGCTGAGTTGAAGGCGTTCTTAATATCCAGTGTTGCCACTAGGCAGTACTTTTTTGTACCTCCTTTCCATCTCGTCCCTGAGATTGCTTCCTTGGCTGTGTTGACTACGAGGCCAATGGCATCAAGGGTGGAACGACCCTTACGGAAACCATATTGGCTTTCATCTAATAGTGGATCGACTACTGCTTCTATTCTCCTATGAATGATACGCTCTAGGATTTTCCCAGCTGTGTCTAGCATACATAGCGGGCAATAGGATGAAGGTTTATTCGGCGGATTCTTCCTCTTGAGGAGGAGCACTAATCTTTGCTGCTTCTATCTGGCAGGGAAGGTGCCCTTCTGAAGACAGGTACTGTATACGTCCTGGAATAACTTTGGTGCTGCTTTGATAGCTGCCCTCAGCGCGATGTTTGGTACTCCATCTGGGCCTGGAGCCTTGGCATTCCTTACTTTGCCACAGGCATCCATCAGTTGCTCCCTTGTGACTTGTGGAATCGCCTCGGCCTGGTAGAATTCTTTGTGGCAGCGGAGTTCCCCTTGAGGAAACAATGCTGTGACGATCCTCCCCAGGAGCTCGGGGCAAGTCGACGGTAGACTTTGGTTGATTTTTGAGCCGTGTCATAACCACCCTGTACGGTCTGCCCCATGGGTCGCTTTCAACTTCGTGCAGAAGCTCATTCCAGCACCGCCTCTTGCTGCATTTAATTGCCTTATAAAGGTTTTGACGTGCCTCCTTGTACTTTGCTTCCAAATCTTCCGAGTTTGATTTCCTTCGTCTACGCTGTGATGATCTTCTCGCCGTTACGCACTCTTTACGGAAAACAGCGATCGTACCATTCCACCGGTGGCATCCGGTTTCTACTGCGTTTCCATGGCATACTGGCATCGCAAGCCTCGGTAACTCTCATCATAATGTTGTCTGCCTTCTACGTAGCATTTTTACCACTGATCGGGCGGTCATTCAGAGCAATGAAGAATGAGTCGAGGTCGAATTTGCCCATTTTCCAACCAATTGAGTTGGAAAATGGCCAAATTCGACCTCGTCTTCTTGAGTGCTAGTCCAATTCTCCGACCAGTGTGTATCTTTCAGAGTATCGCGTCGTGATCACTGGCGGTGCAGATATCCGTCACCTGCCAAGAGCAATTTCCCTTTGCAAGGCTGCTGCTCACAAAAGTGAGGTCCACAATTGAGCTCGCCTTTCTCCTACTAAATGTCGGTTTGTCGCCACTATTTAAGAGTACAATGTTCAGCGCAGACACTGCTTCGAACAGGGCCTGTCCTCTTGCATTAGTCTCCTTACTGCCCCAGTCGACTGCCCAGGCATTGAAGTCCCCAGCGATTGCCATTGGGGAGTGCCGCTTCACATCGTCAATAAGTCTATCCAGAAAGTCTGTAAATTCATCAAGAATGAGGCTAGGTGGAGCATAGCAGCTGTAGAAATAAATTCCGTTAAGTTTGGCAACGACAAAGCCAGCCTCTCCGTTGACACCACCCTGAATCGGGAAACCGCCAAATGACGGCTCCGGCGCTAGCACCTAGCCTTGAGTATCAAGATGTTTGTATGGCTCCGAGATGATCGCAACATCTAGTTGTAGCTTACGCACAGTCTGCATTAGCAAATCATGTGCGGCTTCACAATAATTGAGATTTAGTTGTAGTACCCGCATTATGGTTTATTCCCTCTTCTCCGGAGTGCCTCTCTGTAGTCTGAGCATCTAAAACCACCAGCAACATGAGCACAGTTCTCCGTGTTTCCCTTTTAGACGCACAGGGCGCACCGAGCACTGTTTTTGCAGTCAATGACTTTGTGGACAGCTTCTCCGCACTTAACGCAGAATTTGGTTCGGTCGACTTCGCTCCTACAATTGGCGGCCAGATGTCCATAGCGCCAGCACTTAAAGCATTTGATAGGTCTCTCCATCCTTATTCGGCAGTTGACCCAGCCTATCCGGATCTTGCCGTGTTCACCAATGATCTTCTTTGCAATCGTCACGGGTAGTGTCACCGATGCCTCCGTAAGCCTTGCGCAAGTACTTAATGGCGTCTAAGGTGACGCCCTCCTTGCCAGCTGCCTTTTGCAGGGCATCCAGGACATCCTGTTTCATTGTAATTTCATCGAGGTCTATGATCTCGAGATCCATTTGTGACCCCTTGCTGACTATCTCAGTTTCCTCTCCAAGTAGATTTGCTATGGTTTTTTGCAGACCATGGCCTCCATCTGTGTTTTTCTTGGTCAGGATGATTAATAGATTTCCAGTGGCTGTTTTGCGGATCTTATCAACCGAAGAACGGGCTTGATCGTCAGGGACATCTTTCTTAATCCGACAG